TCATTACTTTTCTTTTGCACATAAAGTGGAAAAATCATTAAATATATTTATAAATTGTACATCTTTGAATGTTTTGTTTTCAGACCATTGTTAATTCAGCCCCGACAGACAGATAATATGTTTCATCTCCTCGACAAAACAGTAGTTGTATCATCGAAATGACAATATAAAATATAAAAGCAAGAGCAATATTTTTAAAACTTTTTGTCTACATACACATGCGCACCACTTCCACGGCTGACATGACKTCTATTATATGCTACGACTAAAAACAAGTCAAGTACTTGGAAATCGATCGAAAGTCGTGTTAATTTTTTTTTGTTATTTAAAAATCGAAAATCATCAGTCCATCAAATTTTCATTATGACTACAATACCATAACTATATTATTTGGAAAAGCTAAAGTACTCTTAAATACGATCCCAAAAAATCATTATCCAATTTTAATTCGCAGATTAACAAGTGATTTTAAACCTACGTATTTGATACGTTTGATAAATAAGTTTATATTTAGGGCGTCCTATCATTTGTTACAGAAAAATAATAACGACCTTGTATTATTAAGATAGTATGTGTTATTCAATTACAAAATATTTTGTGGATGTGTAATAAATTTGTATTTATATTGAAATATAATAATACTGGACTATTAAATTTCAAGCTACCCAGTCATTAATAAACTACAGACAATATTATTATGATCTTAATCATATTAGATAGTAAAAATAATTCACGACCAGTTATTATTAACTCAATGTTGAAGTAAGCATCTTTTATTTAASTTCACCAATCAGTATAWTTTATATAATATGATGTTCTTAATATATAAAATCTCGYCACACTATTTTGTCCATGATAAACTCCGAAACAACTTAATCGATTTTAATGATATATTGTAAATTTCTTATGCATAGTTAAACTTGAGCGATAGGATTGTTGTTATTTATCGATAAGTGGGCCTTATTTATTTTTACTGCAAATTTAAGAAAGTATTTTAGTATTTATGATGGATTTTTTGTTTATAAATTATGGTCGTTATTGGTTACCCACTCATAGATTATAACAGTAGTAGGAGTAATTATGATTTGCTGTCATAGGTGATTCGGGCAGAAGCAGTAAACACATGCTTCTTGTTCGAATACACATAATATCTCATAAATATATCACATAAATCGTGACTTCATTATTTTTCCGTAACACCTTGTACATTCAATAACTAAAAGCTAAAACAAAATTAAGTCTATCATTTTTTATAGGTTTATCATAACTCAGGATCAAATTAGATCCCTTTCAAACAATCTGCTATCTCGTTGCTACAGATTACTGCAGACGTGGCCTCGATATCGTCATAAGGCGATGTAGTAGCATCGCAACAATAATTTTTACCAGTCGTTATGTCATGTGTAGTTTGTGTGCATGTAATAATAAGACATATGTAATAAAATTCGTCTTCTTATCGAGGAAACGAAATAACCATCGTGATATCATACTTAAAGTGAAAAAATATGTCAGGTTTTAAATTTAAAGTAAATGTTTTTTTTAAATATTTTTTATTATTGTTCGTAACATTTAGTGTATATGTATCATACTTTACAAGTCTTAATAAAAATAAATAAATCATAGTACATCGTATTTATCATTGTTGTACTGGAAAACCATCTTAAGTATAAAATTGGTAAGAATAATATCTCGATTTCATTGTAACCGAAAATATGTCTCTAAAATATTCACACCTCCAATTGTGCCAAAAAAATTAATTTTAATGAAAAATATGGTCAAATAAATAATAATATATAATGTGAACGTTAAATTAATATCCATATCTATAAAATAACTCTTCAATAAATCTTAGTTTAATTTTTAATCTTTTCTACACGGTATATCGACTTACTTAAACGTTTTTCCAGCACACGCTATGATAACAACTTTCGATAGAAACTGAGTACCTACTACTGCTCCCACAGACCACCCCGAACGGTTRCAATAATACAATATAAAAATGAATTCGTATTTGTACGACATAATAATATRACATCACGATGGTGGATCACAATCATGACGATTGTGTGTCGAGGACTGATTCGGGACCCCTGTTAATTCTTTTTGTGGTTATGGCACTTAAAGTTAATAGCAAACTACAAAACATGTATAGTTAGTTGTTCATACCGGTACCTGTATAGACCAATGCACAGCATCCCATACGACTTGAGGGCGGATACGAACAAATCACCGTACTTGCCGGCCTCACCGAATTGCGCCAAAGGCCCATCGTACAACGAAATCTGCCCGACCCGACACCGATCACGATTGGCCAAGCTCTCGTCGGTGCTGAAAAGAAAWACCATGCGCATGATCGTGTCATTAGTATAATGAATATGGAACACCGAGAACATGACGTCAAAATTGACTTCTACGTTAAATGTTTTTCCTATCGCTGAGGTTGGATCATAGCTCCATTTTATTTGTGTATAAAAAAAATGCATATTTCATTTTTCTATTGCTAAAATGGAGATTTTTTTCTAAATTGAAATTTGTACTATATCAACCGTCAACGTCTTGGAATATTTTACAGATCAATATTTAATTTTATACTCCGTAGTCCGTAATAGCCTGTGCGGGATAATGGTTCAAATTTAGGTTGTCTTTGAATGTTTACTTTATGTATATGGCACGCAATAGATTTACTTGTAATAGTATACATTTCACAAGTAATAAATCATTTTGAGTCGATCGTTCGGTACACTTTTTATCAACGCTCGATTTCAGTACGACTATGTCATTATTATTTTCACTTAAATAATAACTAAATTATATTATACTTCAGGTATTCTTTTTRTGTTCTACAAAAGCCAAAAAACACGATAACTGCCTGTCGACATGCGGTATTTTACTGACGGTGCGGTACGAATAATAATAACCTCTGTCATATTAAAATAACGCCAGGTCATTTGCGTGTTTGAACTACGATATTCACAAACMATCTCCAGAGTATATTTTAATTCAAAAACTTTACCGCTTGCACCGTTATTATTTATACTATTATTTATAGCTGCAACTAGTYAGACGTGTTTGGATAGTTTGATTTGAGATTCAGATGATAAATTGTTCTACCAAGCTGAGCGAAAAAGTAATAACTCAGATTTCAATAAAAATCAATAAGTTATCACCTGGGTGAAAGAATATATAACATGTTTTTGTTTGATTTTTTCGTAACAAAAATCCACTATTTTTTTCAATAGGCGTACAGAACTTGATCATTGTTAATATTTGAAAATAAAGTCAGTTATATTTTTAAACTTGAAGCAAAAAAACGATACGTCATAAAGTAAGTCGACAAGCCATTAATCCGTAGGTGTTATTGAATCCATTTTCTGACAATTTGTTAACTACAATGCTAAGTAAAAGATTAAAAAGTTGAAATTTTTGATTAGTTAAACTAAGTTTTTCTGTATAAAATAATTACATATACAGTTGGTTTCTGTTCCTTGTGTAATAACTTAGTCGACAATTCAAATATAATATTATTGAGATTGTATATTATAAAATAATAATAATAATAATGTACTTGAACTATAATTTAGAAATTTAAAGGAAATTAAAGGTAGATTTTCTTTTCTATAATAGTAATGCAATGATGCAATGATGCAATGAGAGAGCATAGATAAAAAATATATAGATTTTTCACGTTCGTTTTCATTGAATCAAATAGAAAAAGACTGTTTAATCTGCAATTAGATTTCGTATGACTTATTGTTATATCTGAAATCTTAATAATATTGATTTCCCAATATTTTGAACTTACGGAGTTAGGATTTTTCTGTTTAGTTTATCAATGACAGAATTACTAAGGGCCTGTATTACAATAGTTGAACTCCGGTTAAACCACGGTATTCGGCCGGTAAAATCAGTGGTTCAAGCATAACCGAGGTTTAAACTATGATTGTAAAACGGGTCCTAAGCGTTGTATTTTAGTGGTATAAGTTACACAATTTTCGTAMAGAAAAACGCATACAATACGCAATCGAAAGCTCATCACTTAGTTCAATCGTTCAGTTATTGATCCATGTAGTCAGGTTCCACAATTTTAATATATATACTAATTTTTATACCAAAATTGAAACTAACCTGTAACCACCACGGAGTCCCGCACCTTCAGCCAAAATGAGTTCAAGTTCAGGCGTTGCTCCAMCGGTGATAAGTGATCGGATGAGCGTCAACGCGTTTTGATTGAAATACGTCTAAAAACAAAAACAAAAACAAAATATAACTTTATAGCCTGTTCATTATTAAAATATATTTTCTGCCATCAAATTATTTCGAWGCTATACACTGGCAATAAAAATTCATTGCTGCAAAGACTTTCTACCTACTACTAGTAGAAAGATGATTTCGATTTAAATTGTTGTCCTCAAGAGCTAATATCCAACATCCGGAGTAAGTTTACGTATACCCGATGAATAACCAATAAAATCACGGAAACCGCAGTTCGAAAGTTAACGAACGAAATAGGGTTAGGCAAAATATGGAAAAAAGTAYTATAATTTATAKAATATTTTTTGTATTCCATATACCAAGAGATTACACTAAGATAAAGTTCTTGTCTCAATCTTGTATTATTTTAATGTTATCATTATGTCACAACTGATTATGAGGAAGATTCAGGACTAATATCAAGGTGTTTATTAGTATTTCTTAATTATTCTTAAATAATTAGTATCCCCTTTCACCATTATGATATATTTTATATAAATGTAAATTTATAATTTTTATGAAATTTTTTTTAATCCAAACTATAGTAGGCATTTTTCCAGAATTAAGAATATAAGTACCTATGTATAAAAAATAATCTATAATCTTAATTATTATAATGAAAGAAATTATTGTGATTAAAATTTTAGCGTACAATCGTATTTTTTTTTAGTAGGTCACCTTTTAAGCGCAATCAGAAATAGAAATGCTAAGTCATGCACTGCAGGTCGCTAAAATGATACATTTATGAATATTTAATTAATTAATAATATACTTTTATGGACAAAGCTATTTTTTCGTAGTTTAATCTATAAAAATTGTAATGGTAACAAGTAAGGAAAGCGAGAGGTCCACATACGAAGTCATATATTGTTTTATTTAGATCACGTCTATGAATATAATTATTATTTTCTACGTTTGATTGAGATATTTTACAATATAATTACCGTCGACATGAGCGAGTCCAAGACGCTGACGGCAAAGGCCGTACCACACGCAAACGGCTGGGTGAGGTATAGTTCCGTATCAGGGTCATCGTCGTCGTCTTGGTCGAGAAACTGCACATTGCTGTCATTGACCAGTTCGGTAATCATTGGAACGTTGGCACCGTACACTGATCCTCGTCTCTGCAACACTATGGGTCCGCCAGCACAATTCAGACCGTCCGGATCGAACTGTTTGGTCACCGCGGTCTCATCTGTAGAACGTGTCAAAATCAAATTAAATATGGATGTGCCGTTTTTAATAAAGTGTCTGATATATTATTTATGTATTTGAATATTTATGTGTTCAGGTGATATTTCAACAAAAAAAAAAAAACTGACAATATTAAATGTATTTTAGACTTCATATATATAATGTACAAATTATGATATATTTAAAAGTCAACAAAATAATAAAGAAGTTCTGCATCAAACAATGAATAGGTTTTGTTTTATTCAACTCTGATGTATTATTTTAAACTGCTTAAATTTTAAGATTTCTCAAATTCAAAAAAAGGCTGCATGCAATATAGTGATGGGACGAAATTATTAGACATATTGTTATGAACATGGCTGGAATTTTACTAAAAATATATACCAACCATAATCAACTTTTATGTTATCTTACGGTGATCTATCAGTTAGTATTTTTTTTGCTTACGTCTTAAAAAGCATGTAAAAATGCGTTTTTGATTTATTTTTATTTGGTTTTAACGACTGTAGTTATATACGATGCATAAAAGAAAAGTATGCATATTCAATTGGGATAAAGTATGTGTTTAGTAAAAAAAAATTGTAACCTTAATATTTAACAGGAGTGTACGTCAATTATGTTTTAAATAGTATTAGTGAAAGGTAAGCCATAGTATATAAATACGCGAGAAATTATGTAGAATCACATATTGAGTTAAAATTATTTGTCAATTCATTCGACATCCCATAAATATTCCAGTTAATTTTATTTATTGGTAGAAAAATTAAAGCGGTGTTACATATTTTTTTTTTTATATGAAATTTACAATCTATACCTCATGGCGCAATGAGTAAATGTTATACAAATAGACAATAGACATATAAGGTATTAAAACATACTTAATATTAATATTAAAACGGTTTACAATAAATTATTATATACTGATGTTACATATATCTTTCAATTAAACTCGTTTGGCTAGGCTGACACTTTATAAAAGCGTATTTTGTGTTGATTGAGATAAAACAATGTTGACACAGTCACCGTACTAATTTAAGTGAATAATAGGTTGCGGGATTCAAAACAAATTAGAATGGAAATTGAAATATTTAATTGGAAATCAAATCAAATAAATCTGAACAAACGCAACTTTAACTAAAACTTTGTGAATTTAATTTAAAACTATAAAATGGAAGATCCAATGAAAATTATTAAAGATAGGTATAATTGTATTATTTCACCTTTTAAAAGCTTTTTTAAAAAAGGTTGGAATTGTAAATAACCGATGAGATTTACATTCTAAAAAATATTTGCAATTATTCAAATACGTTTTATAGTAATATAATGCAACAGATACTTTAAAGACAGCAGCGATGACATAAAATAATAAATGGCGTTTTTTTGTGAATAAAATACAGTGTCAGCTGTATTCACTTTTAAACTAYTATTAAACGAACACTTTTTATTTTACCTTGCGTGAGCACTCCAATAGTGTCGTCAAAAGTCATCGCTTTGATGTTCAGCGATGCTAAAATGGCCTCTTTATCAGCCAACGTAGGGTCATCATTGCTAGGAACTTTTGCCGACAATATCACACACATATCGCATAGATTTACGTTTACCGCTCGCAAGTCAGCTCGACTCAGTGGCGATCCCTGAAAATTTTTAAAACAAATAACGATAAATTAATACTACACTTCTCGTAGCCTAATAACGAACACAAAAAAAATAGTAATTAGAAACAGGTCGAGACACATACGTTGAGCACCGAAATCTTCGGTAAATTTTGTAACATCTTCCACTCGCGRCGGATGTAGTCCACAGCRCCGACGATCACCACGTGCTTGAGCTCATGATAATGGAAATTTGACGCCCGCAAAGGCATAACTAAATTCCTTAGTCCGATCAAAGGCGAGTCTGGATCCGCGAACAAGCACACTACAACGTGGCCGTTCAATACGGTCATTGCGGCTTGGTTCCTGTCCTGAAATTATTGAAATTTTTGATATCAAAACACACTTTTACATACGGAATAACTGAGTGTGTACGACGCATTATCAAACGGCGTATGATTTTACAAAGTAACTTACCAAGATGCACTCTTCGAGGCTTTTTGCTGAACTCCAATGGAACATACCAGTGGAGTCGTACTTCATTTCAGTCTTTTCGAAATCAAAGTCTTTCGCCTGGTCGTCGGCGATACCTATTTGAATACCGTTGCTGTTTATATTTGTGCCTGCCGATCCTCCTCTGGTCGTCGGTCTTCAATCACACATGAAAATAATAGAACATTTTTCGATTAATTTAGCTTTGAGCACAAACACTATGATCATGTTCAACAATAATAATGTAAA